TCGCCAGATAAGACCTCCAGAACGTTTTAAAGATTAGAGACTCTGAACTTTACTTTGTTTGATTATAAGAAAAGTTTGTTTCCGACTTAGAGGGGAGATGTGATGTAATCGCTTTAGATGTCCCATTAGTCTTAGCGGGCGGGCTGTTTTACCATGTGCTCCTTGTACTTGTACTAGCTCGATTAAAGCTGTTGTGTTATAGCCTGTTTCGCCTCTCAATAACATTACACATTTGAGTTGCCTGATGTACTTTCAGACCTAAAAGGAGGGATTTTTGCGAAAGGGTTACTACAACTTCTGGAAGAACAAAGACCTACACCATACACAACTGGTGGATTTTTCCAGAAAGGGACCGTGAATATTGGCAGGACAGTCGAACCTCCCGTAAGTGACCACCCAGAATGCAAAGATTGTGTGGTCGCTTAATTTTAGGAGGTGGTCGTTTACAAGAATCGAACCACAGGGGGTCTCTTCTGAGAAGAGGTCAACGCCAGCCACATCTACTTTGTGGAAGATAATTTATTGCATGCAATGTCTTAGCTACGATATGTGCTGTCACTAAAGTTCTTCGTATATTCTAAGTAACATAGTGCATACCTAGCGAAAATAGAGATCAGAGAATGCCCCAAGTGGTCGCTTACAAGAGGTTAAAAACTATGGAAAATCATTAACCGTCAGGTCCAAAACATGGTCGCAGTCGCTGACAGGAGGTGGTTGTTTACTAGAGGCTCTAACTGTAAGGCTTTGACTAGGAAAATTTTGGATTGGTGGTCTCCTATGGAAGGTGGTCGCTTACGAGAGGTGGTCTAAATACCAAATACCAAAAAGTTAGAAAAACAAGATACTAAATATCCATATTGCAGCAATAAAATACCGTATTCCTGAATAATATATAGATTTAGCTAGGGCTAAAAGCGAGGCTCCCATTAATAAATTTATAATTTAAATCAAACAATAAACTTGTATTCCACAATTCAGTTAACTTTAGAGCACATTTATGTGACTTTTGATGGGAAGGCTAAGTAATTTTAGAGAAAAATAATTTGCAAACAGCCCAAGAGTGAACCAAATCTTGTCGAGTTGATAGCCTCATATGTACACCCCAAAACTGGTAATCATCTTCGATCATATTTAAGAGCCATAATAGCTCTTGATCACCGTAGATTAGTTAGGCCTAAAAAAAAAAATCAGGCCGAATTTCTTGCGTTCGACAAGTTTACTTTAAAAAATTTGGCAACAAATCTGGGTGCGTGTAACCCAACCTTTTATGCCATTTATTCATCACATCTGAGGTGAAACAGTACTATGAGGCACTGTTTTTATCATACAGACCTTGGACAGACAGCAGTATTTCACAATTTTGCAATACAAATTGCACTCATTCAATATAAAGGACGATGGAAGTACGCGTGGGCTTTTAGCTAAACCGTTGAGAAAATTTCCAAAATCACCTAAACGGCCATCCGGTTGTGACTTTTGTAGTGCAAGCTGTGGCGAGAGTTTGAATGAACATTAACAGAGTTACGGTCCAACATAATAAAGAATTTAATATGTTTATTTTTTATTTTAAAATGGTTTAACGCGCGGCATTTTGAGTACTACTGCAAGCGATGTTCACTGAACCACTGAAAACAATCGGCACAAGAGAGACTACTAACAAGCAATAAAAGAAATATAATTCGGTGAAAAATATACAGAGACAACAAGAGGCCATTTTACAGTTATGTATGGAACCGAGGCTGGACTTGACCTTGTTTTGAGACAAACCTTCCTGCTTTATCATGTAAATCAAGTTATTCTTATGCTAACCAGTATTTTTCACTTACAATTTCCATAACAAAGCAAAGGAGGTTTGTATCAAAACAAGGTCACCGTGAGCCTCACATTCACTCGAAGGCTAGGGTGCTTAGTCCACAACTGAAAAATGGTCTATTTTCATTCAGGAAGACAAGTATTAAATTGTCTCTAAAAATCCTGAGTCTTCCAAGCTTAAAGCTTAAGTTCATGTTTTGAAACCAGTTTAAACCGCTTCCCGGTGTTTGCTTTTTGCAAAGACGAACTCGAGATAAGAAAATCGCTCAAAGCTTTCTTTTTCAGCCAGAATTATAACTAAATATTCTTTGGAACGTTTTCTTTCTATCTGCGATGAGAAATTGTCTAAAGGCTAAAGTTCTGTAAGCTTATATCAAACCTGGTACTCGGTCAGATCATTGTCTCAAATCTTAGAAACGTGCATAAACTAAATAAACGCATAAACTACGTTCAACTTCATTAAATTAGATACAAAAAACAAACATCTAATACAATAATTACTCTGGCTTACCATTCGAGATGCAGCTCCTGAAAGGTGTCAAGTAAGGCCAGTATCGTTTCAGACTTTGAAACCCTCTTACGCATCAAGCAAGGTGTAAACGAAAATAATGCCATCCGAAATCGGATTTCCGACCTTGACAAGCGACGTATTTCCCAACCAAAAACCCAATAAACAAACTAGCCATGAATAACAGAAGACTCCTGATAGCAGCTGAATTTCATTTTGTACATCCAGTGGAAAAAGACAGTTAAAAACATCACAAGTTAACAAAAAACTCTGTCAGCCTCAGCTGTCAAAGTAAACAAGATTCAAGATGCTGCATAAATTTTCCGCATGAACTCACCTGTCAAATTTTGACCAATTAGAGCATAAAAATTGAACGTAGAACGTGACCAACGCTTGACTAGGGTGAGAAAAGTCAAAAGCAACTGTCTTCCCTGCCGGTAACAGCTGGCTGAATTTTCGCGTTCGAGGTCAGTTTGTAATCAAAATTTTAATTGTACGGTACATAAACACAACATATTTCATATGAATTTAAAAAAAAAAAACTTGAGCCTGCGATCACTTCAAAAAATACTTGACTTCCATGGGTCGACACCTAAACCCGTGATACGGTCAAGTGATATTAGTCAGCGGGTACCCTGTTTTGACAGCTGTCAATTGATCAAAATATTGATGTCCAATGTGTGTGCATTATCAGTTTTCCTATGCTCCCAAACTAGCTAGAAAGTATGAAATGGACATTGTACTAGTAAAACAACTAACTGGTCAGCGGACAGCTCCTGTTTTGACAGCTGTCAATTGACCATATTGTGAATTTCCTTATAAAAGATGTGGACCTGCCAAGACACGCCTGAGACACCCCTCCCTTCCTTTTGATAGCCTCCCCTACCCCACCCGTACAATCTGTAGACGCGTACGCTCGGTCAATCACGTGACAACCAAACGAAAAGAGGTTGACCGTGTTCCATGAGTATAGGGCTCTCTCCCAGGCGCGCTTCGCGCGCGGGAGCCCCGCTAAAAAAGATCCCGCCGGGTACCCGGGCCTGAAAGATGCCTGGGAAGCGGATATTTTAATAACGTGCGGGACCGGGATTTTGCTATTTTTATTGGGTTGGGATGCGGGAATCGTAAGGGAAAAGTAGCGGGAAACGGGAATGTTTTATTTAAAATTAACCAACGCTGACTGAAAAAATGAATCTTTTGTGTAGACCGATTTTGTGGTAGCCAAGTAAATGAAGCCCATCAAATTTTTCCATTATCACCTTTGCGTTTTTTCGTATTGTTCGTTTTTTCGGGAAAGAAGGCGCGCGCGAACCTTCAAAGGAAAAGTCTGGAGTGAGGTCGAAAAACGAAGAGTTTGACAATGGAGAGACGCGAAAAATATGCGGTTTTATACAGTCGTCGCGCGGAAGTCAGTCTTCCCCGAGAGGAAAAAAGGACTGTTTTGCAGACTTCTGCTTCTGCCACGTGCGCCTGTTGTTGCGTGGATTTAGGAATGGAAGAAAATAAGGAGATTTTAAACAGGAATGAGCACAAGTAGCGTTGCAAAAGAGGAAGAAATCCAGGACCAAGTCCAGAAAGATTGAAAAGCAAACTTCCGTATGGGTAGGGGGTGGGGGTCTTGTCCGCATTTGGTTGTGCTATTCGATTCCATGGCAGGTTCATGTTTCCATAAAAGAGAGAACATTTTCTCAGTCTATGCAACCAGTGCGTTCATTCCTATACATTTTCTGTGACCCGCAGTCAGCGTAGAAAATTGGCTTTATCGCCTAATGGAATCCAGCAGTGAAGCAATCGAAACATCCACCTAGCCAACTCAACTGGCAGGACTCAGATCGAAGTAAACCTTCTATTTTGTACTGATGCACCGACAAAAAAAGGCAAAACAATCGATCCTCTTTTTTTCATCAATTCTCTCGTAGCCAAAAGAGGGCTGGTGCGGCATAATTTAAGTAAAGCATAGCTGGGCCATATGTAAAAGAAAATTGATACATAAGGTGCAAATTACAAGGATCTTTCCTTCTGGTGTCCTGCTCAAGTTTGTATTGCTTTCCTGAAATTCCACACGCATTTTACGTTAACAAAAAGTCAAGTTGGGAACATTTTAGGCTCAAAGCATGAAAGTAGAATCAGTGTCGGTTTAAAATTGGCCACAAACGTGAGACGTTTTAATTTATAAAAGGAGTGTATTCACAATTATAATGATGATCATTGATGGTGATAATGATAAATAGAGACTATTAATTCAGTCTTTAAGGATACATATGTACATCTGTTATAAAATATTTCCTGTATCAAAGGCGTAATGCGAAAGGAGAAAGCCATTAGGAGAAGATGGCCGATACCCAAACCCCACCCTCCCCCACCCCTCCCTAATATCATTTCTAAGTGATCGGCATCGGTACTTAAACAAGGTGTATCATGGGCAATGTGAAAGTGGTGTAATATATGATTCCTTTTGTCTGGATATCTAAGCTTTGCTACATTGCCATTGTTCTTTATAATGTTCCTTCATACGTTCTGGTCGAGTTATTGCGCTACCTTTAGCTTTAATACAGGTATTTTTGTGTTTCGTGTCAATGAAAACCAGCTGCATTTATAACACCTTTAACCTTCAGTTCTAGTATACTGTGAACAAGGCGTTTCACTTAATCCTCTGAATTAACAGCAAGTATTAGTCCAGTTACCTGCCATTCTTCGATTTCTGTTTATTCAAAAGTTCTGTCCTCTTTTCCTTCGCAATATTTAAATTACCATTCGCCATTACCGTTGGTGCGACTTTAGTCGAATGGTAAACACTAGTTGTATTGTATATTCTCTTCTCTTCTTTCCACATTGAAGTGTCGTACTTCCTTCCTTGCCTTGCCACGAGAATGCATTCTATTAATTCATCGTTAAACTTAAACGGAACCTTATGAACAAAAAGTTTGTCTTTCTTTTTTTCTCCCAGTGCCCAGCGTAAATCTTGGAAGGTAATCCAACATAGCTGTCGCACCCATTTCCCACGACAGATGCCACGGGTTTCCTTACCAATCCAATACAAGGCCCGTGGTATCCAAGTTGGTTGATTTCCGTTGATTCCGCCTGGAACTCCTGGATGTCTTTGTAAAGATGAATATATCGTTTCATCTGGTATTTGAGAATCTTTTAAGAATTCATAGAAGTCTTTTCCTATTTGACTATAAAGAACAAACTCGACGAATTCTCTTATAGCAATAATATGTGTTGATCCTTTATAGATTGAAATATTGTGTGGTGGCGGCCCTTTTTGTTTTTTTGTATTGTACATCCGGCGTTTCTTTAATATGAAAACAAATTTATTTCGGTATAATTGACTTTTGGGCATTGGAAAACTTTCTATGTTGTTAGTATTGTTAAGAGCTTGTAATGCTTTTACAACCTGCTTGTTATCATAAAGTGGAAAATCCTGTCCAACTAAACTAATGTAATATTTCCACTTAACTTGTGATTTCAAAAGCTCTTCCATGCAACTGAATTGAGCTTGAACTACAGTAATATGTCCCCAGAGGACGTCAACACTGTTTGCTGCGATAAAAACGTTTGGAAGGCAGCGTATAATGGCCTGTATCGCTTTACGGAAGACCTCTGGGGATTTCTTGTCGATGTGGATGCAGTAGACATTGTTTGGCATGTAAATAGCTCGTAGAATTCGGTCGAGCAGACGCGAACCTTTATAAACAGTGAGACTAAAAGCGATCGGAAGCTGCTTTTCTTCTTTTGACACAGGGGGATGAACAAAACGAGTTTGTAAAACACTCGCGCAATCTTGATCAGGCCTGTAGATACTCAGAATGTCTGAGTCATTCGATGAGATTTGAGTCTTTTTGATTTTTTGCTCTCCAGATATAAGCCTCTTGCATCTTTTCCACTTGGATTCCTAAAAGAAAAATGGTCGCCGCTAAGGTTACTGGATTAAAATGTTAACCCGTGGCATCTTAGTCATCTTACATAATCTTACCAATACAATAGTATAAACGCTTTAGGCTCTTTTTAACCGCTCTGTTTTTCTTTTTGAAAAGGCTTAGAATCAAGAAATACGGATGTTACGATCGGTTTTGGCCGCAGGAAAATTGGAGCGAGAGACATCCTCCCCGCTCTATACTCGCCCCATTTTTCGCGTGGTCTTTGACTCTCGACCGTTTCTCGTTCTTTGCTCCGAAACTGCAAGGAAACGCTTGCCACACAGAATACGGAAAAAATGAACCTGTAACTGCGCTATGCCGGTCTAATCACGTGTCTTAAGAAGCCCCGGCCCTGTAAAATGCCTCACAGAATCCCAGGGAAAACTATACTGGAATATATAGACTTACTTGTGTATTGAAATCTTAAGCAGCGTTGAAAGGGGAAACAAAATCCTTTAACTTGTATATAGCAGCATTCTACCTAACGAGTTGAAAAGCCACGTTCAAACTTCTCTTGTTACAAGTTTTGTGAATACGGGAGTCACATAATACACGTGATAAGTCACTTGCAGCAAAGCAAGTTTGTCTTGGGCCAGTAAAACGCGTAACATTTTGTTGCAAAAAGTAGTAAGAACTCTCTCCTTTCCGCACCAACTTTTCGCAAACTGCATCAACCTGATTTGGTTCAAGACAGTTTGATTTGTGGTTGGTAAAACGCGCAACATGGCTATTTAACTGGTTTTGAGGCAAGGTTGCAAAACAAGCTGCACGTTTTTGTTGCCCGTTTTACCATAGTTTAAGGCTAAGCAAATCAGATAGGCATTAGCGACAAACCCTTAAGACGATGAATACTATCATTTTCACTCTTTACCTTTTCCTTCGGAGAATAATACCAATGAAGAATCTGATAAAAAAAAGAAGAAAAAGCATAATATTATATTTCATATACATAATATATAAATAATAGAACTGTGTTGGTCTCTCTCGGCGATTTAATCGCACATCGCACTCCTTTTGCCTTTCCTCACTATTTTCCAAGCCCGGATTTTTCTTAAAATAACTATTTTTTGAAAGTTATTGTTTTTGGGGTAATTCAAACACAAGAAACTTTAAGATTTTTACTGGAGCAACTCTATTGCTCATGACTGTAAGGTGGTTTGCCTTTCACTAAGACAAACTCTAGGTATGTGTGGGATTCCCTTACCTTCCCTTCGGTGCCCCTTCCCCTACCCTGACAAACTGTACGGACGGACGTACGGGCGTCTGCTGACGCCATAAGCAAATTTTCTCGCATGGGTTATACCCACAATAAATGATCAGTTCACTCACAACATTAACAAGTGCGAACCGTTTCTATGCGAATGGATGGAAAATGATCTTTTTTCTGGGTTTGTTTGTTTTTTTTCCAAACGAAATAGCCCATGATAATCCAGACTTTTATCTGGCCTTGGATTGTAGTAAAGGTACCCACCCTAAATGTCGGGTAGAGCGGTGCGTGCTGTTGAGTGACCCTATCGTCGATTCTCGCTTTCATATAGAGTGTTTTCACATGACGTCACGGCGGCCACATTGAAGTCCCAAAACAATGAAACGGCGGCCATGTTGGTATCCCAAACTAATCCTTTGGGAGTTGAACTCTTTTCTTATGCAAACCCTTTCTCTTGTTCCAATAAATTTGCATAGATGCTGGCCACGTGAATGGAAACACTCTATAAAATATGCTTGCAAAAATTGTGAAGGTTTCGCAGTTTGGTCTGGCATAGTGTGCCGTTATTCGCTAACTAAAGTACGATAAAGCTTAACGGATTGTTATAAAATAGAATAGTTTCTCAAATCCCTAGTTCTCGAAGAATACCATGGTTAAGATACAGAATAGTTACGGGATTATGATCTGAGATAGAGAAGAGGACAATTTTAGGCTTCGCTTCTTTCTAAACTGCGGAGAAATAGGTAAAAGGCGTAAACTCGAGATTGGCAGTATCAAAAATAATTGGTTAACCAGTTGCCTTTGTGTACCATCAACCGCTGATAATTAACGTATTGCGTCGACAGTTTGTAACCATTGTTAGTAAAGTTCGTGGAGAGAAAAATAGAGATCTCAGCTAAGAAATTAACTGACAAAACGCAAAACGTTTTAATTTGTTAACTGAAAGAACACATCACTGCGCGCGATACAAAAACTTCTACTAAAAAATGTTGCGTTTTGATCGTGATATATTTTTATGGACTGCCAACACTCTCTTATTTTTCTTTTGAGTCCAGATATTTATAGAAAATTTTCAAGTCTAAATTTCTTTGGAACATTCGTCCCGCTAAACATATGACAGGCTCATATGTGACGTCATTAGCCAATTCGGGAAATGAAAATCGAAATTTTATGCGTGTTTACCCTTTTGTTAGGGCCGCCATTGTTTGTTGCATCTAACTGCAACGCATCTTATTGCCATGTATACTTTTAACAGCTGTTTCAGTTTGTTAAGTAGCATAAATATTACAAAAACTCCACTCTCGTGTACCTGTATATCAAGTTACGTGTTCCTTGATTTACGTCATAGTTCCTTAAACTACGTCACAGCTCCTTTGTTTCCCGAGAGGTTTTGATGGAGTGCCCAAATGGTATGAACGTTTCAAAAAAATCACGTTTTGTTCAAATCGCAAAATTTTTTCGCAGAAATTTTCGTAGTAATGTGTACTTAATAGGTTATGGGCACTTAAAAACAATGCGTGCAGTAAAGTTCAAGGAGAAATCTAATCGGAGTTACCTTTGGTTTTTCCGTGAATGGACCACTAGGCCTTGCTTCATTAAATTTTGGTTTTTTGTTGCTTTTCATCCTTTCATTGTTACTTGTTTTTTGTTTGTTGCGTTCTTGCATTTCCTTTGGCGTAGGTGTCTTAGGGATATCCTTTTTATTTGTTTCCTGCCGTTTTGAAGCGTTAGATGCCTCTGCAGTTCCTATAACTTTAAGCCTTGGTGTACCGTGGACATTTTCGACCTTATCCTTTGAAGTATCAGTCCGATTACTCGACACTTTCGATTTTTGTTTAGTCGGAAGGCCTATCTCCTTTTCCTTCGCAGTATGCGGACGACCATTTTCCTTTACCGTTGGTGCAACAGTAGTCAAAATGCTAGTCGTTTTAGATATTCCCTTATCTTCTTTCCACGCTGAAGTAGCGTATTTCCTTCCTTGCCTTGCCACAAGAATGCATTCTATTAATTCCTCGCCGAAGTTAAATGGAATCTTATGAACAAAGAGTTTGTCTTTCTTATCTTCTCCAAGAGCCCAGCGTAAATCTTGGAGGGAAATCCAACATAGCTGTCGCACCCATTTCCCACGACAAATGCCACTGGTTTCCTTACTAATCCAATGCAAGGCCCGTGGTATCCATGTTGGTTGATTTCCGTTGATTCCACCTGGAACTTCCGGATGTCTTTGTAAAGATGAATATATCGTTTCATCCGGGACTTTAGTATCTTTTAAGAATTCATAGAAGACTTTTCCTATTTGGCTATGAAGAACAAACTCGACGAATTCTCTTATAGCAATGATATGAGTGGATCCTTTGTAGATTAAAATGTTATGTGGGGGCAGCACTTTTGGCATTTTTGTTTTATAAACCTCACGGTCTTTCAGTATGTGAACAAATGTTGTTCGATCCAAATTATTTTTAGGGACGGGAGAACTTTGTATGCTGTTGGTGTTGTTAAGGCCTTGTAATGCTTGAACAATCTGCTTGTTATCATAAAGAGGAAAATCCTGTCCCACTAAACTTATGTAATATTTCCATTTAACTGATGGTGATTTTAGCAGCTCTTCCATGCAACTGAATTGAGCTTGAACTACAGAAATATGTCCCCAGGTGACGTCAACACTGTTTGCTGCGATAAAAACGTTTGGAAGGCAGCGTATAATGGCCTCTATTGCTTTACGAAAAACTGCTGAAGATTTTTTGTCGACATGAATGCAGTAGACATTGTTTGGCATGTAAATAGCTCGTAGAATACGATCAAACAGACGTGCACCTCTGTGAATAGTGAATCCAAATGCGATTGGTAACTGCTTTTCCTCTCTAGAAACTGGAGGATGAAGAAAGCGAGTCCTTAAAACATGCGTGCAATCTTCATCAGGATGATACTTGTCAAGAATATCTGTGTCATTCGACAAGGTTCCAGTCTTTTTCAGCATTTCTTCTCCAGATATAAGCCTCTTGCACCTTTCCCACTTGAACTCCTGCAATGAGTATTGCCACAAGTTACACATATAATGAACCTAGAATATGACCCCCTTCCAGCACACGTTTGAGCAGGTTCCAAATCGGGGAATCCATAAACATTTTTTTTCCCGACACTCATTCGACAAGGTTCGTTTCCACTTCGATTCCCACTTTGAGTATTGCCTCAAAGTACTCATATGAACTTGGCTGTGCCTTGCCAGAAAATCCCTAGTTTTAACTAGATCGTACGCGACTTCAGAGTAAGCGGAATCAGAACTCTCTAGTTGAGCAGCCCTCCGTGCTTCTGATTACGATTCCCACTCCGATGCTGTCGCTATTGAAAAGATGTCTTCAAAAACAATTCTCTAGCTACAGTCCTTTAAATAGAGCATCATGAGTATTTTGGAGTTTGATTGCAATCTGCAATGCCTTTCTGGGTGGTGTAACCTGAGTATTAGGCCTAAGGGAGAAAGAGATATCTCTCTTCCCTCTTTCCCCAGTTAAGTTTAACTTGCTGTTTGAACTTGCAGAGATCGAAGAAAGTGCTGACTGAGGGGGCATTTAGCATAATATATAAGGCACAGTGCTAAATAAGGAAATACCACGTGGGGTAAACTGCAGTAATCTGCAGGCTCAAAGGTTAATGCTTGTCAACATTAACTTTTATTTTATTCTAAAATATCATAAACAGCTGACACTTAGGCCATTCTGGGTGGGGCTAAGAGACTCACATAAAGGCAGGTGGAGATTAAGCTTAAAAAGTATTAAATTGAATAATTTTCACTGTTTACCTTTTCCTGAGGAGAATAATACCATTTAGAAATCTGTTAAGGAGAAAAAAATATATACGTAAAGAAATAAACCAATAAATCAACAAATGAAATCAAACGATTAAAAGAAATAGCATTTTAAACACGACGATCATATCGCTGACGTGAAGGCAAGTCGGATCGCTTATGTGACAAAAAGAGTTAGTCTCATCTTTTTGTTTATCCTGCGCAGCAGGCGCTAGGAATATATCGGCGCAAGAAAGAACAGGCGCGCGCGAGGGAAACACGCGAGCTCTCCCCTCGTGTGTCTCCCTCGCGCGCGCCGTTCTTTCTTGCGCCCATTTATTCCTAGCGCCTGCTACGCGGGCTGCTTTTTGTTTTACTGATATCTCCTACTCCTACATCACGAATATATAATCCAATCGGTCTAGGAGAAAGTGTCGAAAAGCGCCGCAGTAAACATCATTATTAAGTTTATACAAGAGAGGATAAAGGGGACAGAGAAGGCATCCCCCATACACACCCTGTTCCATAGGTAATTCGTCTCGAGTTATTTTTGGAATCGGGATAAAGTTACCTCGCGCGCTGCGAGGATGTTTCGTGGAGGTTCCGCATGACTAAACGCCGTGCAAAACATGTCTGGCGAAAGGCAATGAAAGCGTAAAGAGATCGAGAGCATTTCGGAATATTGAAGCGAAATGAGTCGGCGCTCACCTGGGAAAATGGAATCGCTAGACTCTTTGACAACCCGTGAAATCAGTTTAACTCGAAGTTGTCGTAACCTCAGTGATTTAATAAAATGAGAAATTTCGCCGGTCTATTGAAAGCGGTCGTTTATATAATAAAGCAAGTAGGATACCAAGTGTTATTTTTGTTGAATAATGAAAGACTAATAAAAGAATAAATATCAAACCAGAAATTGCTC